TACGTTTTGTCTCGATATCGATCCATGGGGAGGCGAAATGCTACCCATCCACAGAACTTCAGGAGGACAAAGTCGGTACATGGCTGCTCAATTTTGCCACGGATTAGGTTCCAGTGTTCTTCTACATTGGCAGAGCTACTCGGTTCCCAGGATAAGTTCATAGCGCTCTGTCTCATTGCGTCATAATCAGCCTTCCAATATGCCGGTTTGTAGCATCTACGCGTTGACTGCGATCGGGTTATGTGGAGTGTAGCTACAACAGTAGCATGATCACTGGTGCCGAGAGGTGCAGAGACCCTCTTGTCAGATACTTTTGTGTGACCATTTGTGAAGATCAAGTCTAGACAGGAAGCCGTACCCGAATCAGCTATCCGCGTGGGCTGGGTAACATGTTGTACAAGGTAAACTTCATTAGCCATTTCTAACAACGTGGCCTCTGTATCTGAGGCCGGACCTTCGAGAATTAGATGAGACCAGTTGATATGTGAGCAGTTAAAGTCACCAACAATGCAGACCCACGCCCTTCTAGAATACTTCTTGATTGTATTCAATCAACTGATGCCGTTGGCTTGAGGACTTCGATATATTACACTCATGGTTGTAATTGCACCAGTAGTCGTTTTGACCAACAACCAGATTTGTTCAAGAAGGTTGTCTTCTGTGCGTTTGCGTTTTATCATTGAAACAACTAGGCCGTCAGTAGCATATACCAGGATACCCCCATGGATCCCTTCAGTACGGTCGCGACGGAAGACTCGGTAACCAGGTATATTAATTTCACTATCCTTTACTGATTCAAATAGCCAGGTTTCTGTCACTGCAACAATCGCAGGGCGCTTCCGCGCGATAAGTACTTGTAGTTCAGTCAGTTTGTAAAGCAGACTTTGTGCATTTATCAGCAAAATACCTACAGTGCTATCAATGTTTCCCGGGCCATTAGTAGCAGTGGTTTGAACAGGGGTCTCCTCTTCTGTACAACCCGAAAATTTATTGTGCGTTGGTTATTTTCCTCCGCGTCACTGCGTTGTCTCAGCTCTTCGACCGCCTTATGTTGTTTTATTCTGTCCTCAGTCGATAGGTCTGCCCGCATCGAAATACTGCTACTTTCCCATTACAGAAAAATGTGTTGCTCAATTTTCAGGGTTCTATTTTCTCTTGAAGATGACTTCACAGCAATCGGAATTTCGGAAAGACTGTTTCGTATTCGCTAATGGAGATATATACGAGGGCGAGTATACGTTGACCAATTCTGGAATTCGAAGGCATGGCTTTGGGAGGTATATTCGACCAACTCTTCATGTTTATGATATGGAACAGGATAAATTGCTTGAGAGGGAATACAGTACTGAGACCACCGACGAAGAATCCGATAATGAGAAAGTTGATGAGAAAGCTGCCAACGCAAGAGAGTCAATTCATAAGCTCATTTATGAGGGCGGTTGGATTGACGACCAAATGACGGGTGAATGCAAGATTTGGTTCCCCAGTGGATGCTATTATGAGGGTTCAGTTTACAAAAATCGGTAAAAATTTTTGATCTTATTCAACTATACTTGACCAAATTTTGTTGCTAATGTAATCTTAAATTGAAATTCAAGCAAAGACTTCAAGGCGTTAAAGCATATCTTTATGTTTTACATAGGAAACATTTTCTTTCCTAGATTACTATGACTGCGTATGCTGAAATATTGGTTGATCGAGTCTATGTTCCGCCTGTTTACTAAAAGCTATGCGATCCATCCTCTTTTTATATACAACGATAAAGTCCCTGCTAGCGAA